AATAAAATAAAATAAAATAAAATAAAAGAATGGGTTTGAAAGCCCCTGAAAACAAATAAACGCCTCACTGGAAAATTATTTCCTAATTCACCTGCCATATGAGTGCCTACCTTAGCCTTGGTTTATATCCCTTCCCACCTCCTTCTCTCTGCTGAAAGTTCACCATTTCTTCACCACCGATTTCCAGTTTCACCTCCCTCATAAAACCCTCAACAACTACATAAGCATCTGACAAACTTCCCGAACTCCTAAAATCCTCTAGCATTGTTCTGTCTATACTTACCACTCGTTTGGCACTGAAAAGACACTGACCCGCGTTACTGTTTATATTTAGATCACTGAGCTCCCCAACTAAATTTTAAATTCCTTAAGGACACAAACTCATATCCTCTGTGGCTCTGTGCACAACAGCCCAACTCTAACATACGACCATGCTAACCACCTGGCGAGCAGTGGATTTGCTCGTAATGATACCTGGCATTAGCAGCTGCAAGTCCGGTGGGTTGGAGAATCCACACTGCTCACCCCAGCAGTCAATCCTCGACCTTCTTTAGATTTCACGTGTCCTCAGCATTTGAGTCAGCTGATCACTGTCCTCCCCTTAAGTCACTTCCTGGCGTGGCCTCCAGGACCACCCACTCTGTTCACTTTCCTCCTCTTTCATTGATGCTCCTTCTTCGCGGCCATGACTGGCTTTTCCTCATATCCCTGACATCTTAAACTTGGGAGAGCCCAGAGCTCAGTCCCTGGAATTCCGTTCTTCTTCAAATGCACTCACTCCCCTGGACACCTCAGACAAACTCATGCCCTAAAATACAGACCCTAATTTATCTCTCTGGCTCAGAGCCCTCTCCTCAACTCCTGCCTACTCAACATCACCATGTGAACACCAATTGGCACCTCAACTTAACTTGAACCAAACCAAGCCTCCAGGCCCCTCCCTCTTAGTTGACAGCAACTCACTATGTCTTTTCAGTTGATCAGCTTAAAAATCTTGGTTCCCCTTCAAAATGCTGTGTCTCTAGAATCTGACACCTCCTATGACTCCACTGCCACCACTTTGGTCGAGCCGCCGCCATCTTTCTCATCACGATTACTGCAAAACCCCTTCTGACAGGCCTCTCCTCCACCCTTGCCTCTCTGCAGCCTATCTCGGTGTCAGCAGGACATGACCTGCCATCAAAATGTAAGACAGATCACCCTACTTCTCTGCTCAAACCCCCAAATGACTTCCCATCTCACTCGAGGAAAAGCCCTGAACACAGCTCCTCCTTGCGTCTGCCTCCACCTCTTCCCGCTCCCCTCGCTCACCCCACTCGCCACTTTGCCCTTTTTGCTTCTCAGATGTGTCCAGCTACCTAGGGTCCTCTGCCCTTGCCGTGCCTCCATCTGGAACTTTCTTCCCCTAAGAGCCACAGGCTTATTCCTGCACCTCCTTCAAGTCTATGCTCATTTGCCCCGCCCCCAGCCCCATCAACTCTGTTTAAAATCCACACACGTTCACATTCCTTAACCCCTTCCCCATCCAGTTTTCTCTACAGCTTGTATTAACTAATAAAATACTGTGTTCTTTACCTATTTATGTCGGTCTTATCTCCCTTACAGAAATATAAACCGCTCCAGAGCAGGAATTTCCATCTGTGTTACACACTGATTTATTTCTAGGGCCTACAATAATATCTGACACATCGTGGGCACTCGGTAAATACTTGTCAAATCAATGGCTGATGACAGAGAACGAAGATGATGCCTTTTATACATCTGTTTGGTCTCAAACAGCCTACAAAGACCACACACTTAGAGCATGGGTTTAGGGTTCAGCCCTGACACTTTTTGGCACAATAACTAACCCTGGGTTCCTATCCTATAAAGTGGATACGAACATCTACCTCACAGGGCTGTGGAGGCACTGAATAATGGCCCAGAGTAAGCATCATACTATTATCACAGTGGACCCTTGAACAACACGGGTTTGAACTGTGTGGGTGCACTTACACATGGATATTTTTCAACAGATACAGTATAGTACTATAAACGTACTTTCTCTTACGATGTTCTTACTAACATTTTTCCTCCAGTTTACTTTATTATAATACAGTACATAATACATATAACGTACCAAATACAGATGACAAACCGTTTGTCATTGGTAAGGCTTCCAGTTGACAGTGGGCTGTCAGTAGTTAAGTTTTGGGGAGTCAAAAGTTACATGTGGATTTTCAACTATGCGGGGGGGGGGGCGGTGTCAGCACCCCTGCACTGTTCAAGGGTCAACCGTACATAAAATAATAATAAGAAAACATCCTAACAATCTGGTGACCACAATGACCACAGAAAAACATACAAATTGTCGTATGATCTATTTAGGAGCTAAATGGGGTGTAACAAATTGTTCAGAGACAAGGGCATCTAAGGGAAGTGAAAAGTGAAAAGGCTTTGTGAAAGACGTGGGTTTGGGGCTGAACGCTGAAAACCGTATAGGATTTGAACAGACAGACTGGGACGGGGGAGCTGTTCCCCATGCAGGGAACGACATGAGCAAAGTGGGGAGTGAGATGTGCCTATGGCTTCGCAGAGAGCCTCGAAGGGTCAAGGGAGACGGCTGCTTGCAAAAGAAATGGCCATTTTTAAGAACACTTTGAAGAAGACAGGAACATACTAGAGAGAGAAGGGATACGCACGGAAGGAATAAAGACAGAACAGAATCAACGATGTGATCTTCCGCCCACACAGAGTTCATTTCCAGCATTCCCTCTCAACCCGTGAAGGGCACGTCCGCCCAGATGCTCAACCGGAAACCGAGGGCAGCCAGCACACCGTGTCCTCCTCCCTCTCAACCCACCACCAAGTCTTGGAGGTTCCAGCTCCGACAGGTATCTTGAACTGAACAGTTCCAGCATCACAACTACCCTGCTCCTGACCCTGTGTGAACTATCACGGCAATTTAATATGCCTTTGAACAAACCTACTATATACGCTTATATTTGTACTACCGTGTAACGTTTCCTTTATATACCATAAATCATAAAGAGCTCAGCAGAGCACAAGGCAAGACTTTCACAAACCCCAGGATGCTTCTTCCCACCTTCCCATCCAGCACTCTTCTCTCTGAAAAGGAGGTTCATATACCCACATGCTTTTATAGTCCTAGCCTATATTCAACCTTGTCTTCAGCAGACACATTGATCTTTCCCCTCCTCTCATCCTAATCCTAACCGACGTGGTTGGGTTGAACACAGAAACCGGCTGACTTAAAATGAACAGAATTTAAATTAGCATCAATGAAAATTTAAGTATGACTTCACTCTCGACGTGCACAAGAAATAAACTACCTCAGTTGGAGAGAATATATTTCCAATTACTGGCTCTATTTAAAGGTCAGGTCTATCTAAACAGGCAGAAAATCTCAATAAGTGGGGCTCTGAGGATATTAAAAGAGAATGCTGGGGCGCCTGGGTGGCGCAGTCGGTTAAGCGTCCGA